ATCAAGTGAATAAATCATCTGATGAAAAGAATGAACTGGTGATTATAATAGAATCAGGGACATAGAAAGGGAATGGACTATTCTTGGGGGGGAAAAGGGTGTGGGAGATGTGGGAAGAGACTGGACAAAAAGCGTGCACCTATGGATGAGGATAGTGGGTGGAGCGTGAGGGAGGAGGGTGGGGTGGGAACCGGATGGAGGGGAGCTATGAGGGGAAAAAAGAGGAACAACTGTAATAATCTGAACAATAAAGATTTAATTTTTTTTAAAAAAAGAAATTTTTTTAAAAAAAGGAGCCAAGACTACACAATAGGGGAAGGACAGTCTTTTAATAAATAGTGCTAAAAAAAAAACTGCACAGCACACCATACACAAAAACCAACTCAAAATGAATTAAAGACTTGAAAGTGAGACCTGAAACCACAAAACTCCTGGAAGAAAACATAGCTCAGAGGCTCCCTGACATCAGTTTTGGCAGTGATGTTTTGGATATGACACCAAACACAAAGGCAATGAAAGCAAAAATAAACAAATGGGACTACATCAAACAAAAAAGCTGCTGCACAGCAAAGAAAACCATCAACAAATTGAAAATGGAACCTAAAAAATAGGAAAAAATATTTGCAAATCATGTATCTGCTACAGCCTCTCCTCCCATAACTGATTTTAAAAGCAATTTTATAAAACAATGTGTGCATAATTATGTTTCTACATGTTATAGGCCCAACAGTACATTTGCAAATACCTGCTCATGGGAGGTAGCTGAGTGCAAAACTATATTGGACTAAAGAAATGACTCCATATGGAAACTCAAATACACAGAAACGAGTGAACAAAACTAGAAATAAGAAAATAAAAAGGCTAACATAACAAAAGCTATAACTACGTGCTTACTCTTCTTCTCTCATAGCTTTTAAAAGATATGAAATTGCATAAGGTAAGAATTATAACAATGTTGGTTTTATTACATACAGATGTAATGTGTATTAACAATACCATAAAAAAGAGGAAGGGGAACAGTCTATATAGGAGTAATGTTTCCTTATCACATTGGAATTAAGTATAAATCTAAAGCAGATTCTGATCAGCTAAAATGTACACAGTACATTTTGCACATTTATATAGGAAATGAATAAAAAGTGAAAAAATAAAGAAATTAAAATGTTACATTAAAAATATTCACTTCATGTCTGGATGGTGTGGCTCAGTGGTTGAGCATCGATCTGTGAACCAGGAGGTCACAGTTCAATTCCCAGTCAGGGCACATGTCCGGGTTGTGGGTTCGATCCCCAGAAGGGGGTATGCAGCCAATCAATGATTCTCTCTCATCATTAATGTTTCTCTCTCTCCCTCTCCCTTCCTCTCTGAAATCAATAAAAGTATATATTTTTTAGAAATATTCACTTCATGCAAAAGGAGAAAGAGAGGAACAAAATATACATGAGACATAGAAAACAAGAGATAAAAAGCCAGACAAATATTCAACTATATCAATAACACTAAATGTAAACAGATTAGACAATTCAATCAAAAAGCAGGTACTGACAGAATGAATATTTTAAAATACAACTTATGAGGTCTACAGGAGACACATTAAATTCAAAGATAGAAATGTCATTATAATGAAGTATAGATGGGAAAAAATTTCATGCCAATAGTATGCAAAAGAGAACTATAATGACTACACA